AACTTAATCTCCCCAAAGAAACTTTAGAGTATTTCACGAATTATTTCATTTTCTTAACCATCGCCTTTTACACCCCCAAGGATCATTTTAACAATAAAAACTAAGATTAAGCCACATCTAGGTGCCGAATAAAGAAAAGAATTCAAAGCTACTAATAAAACAAATAGACACATGATCATGGGCAGAGCTAGAAAAAAATTTAGGATGGGCACACTAGTATGTTTTAATTTTTTTTTAATAGACCGTAAAAGTTCATAAAGTTATATTTATTAAAATTATATTTAATACTTTTTAAAAAATTAAAAATCGATATACAAAATGTGAACAAAAAAAATAATAATTAAAATTTCTTATCGAGAATGCAACTAATTACTATTACTTATAATTGAATATGATATATTTTTATTATTTGAAAGAGTTACAAATTAATTTTATCAATAATATTTCTTTTATATATAAAATCGCAGTAATAATCTTTCATTTAGGATCCTATAATTTACTACATAACGACACACATTTTTATACAATAACGAAATAACCTTACAATTTAAAAAAAAAATTATAAATAATATAAATATATTCAAAGCATGTCTAAAAGTTAACAATTATATTAGTTGTACATAATTTGAGATTTAATTGATGAAGACCCAATGATTTGTGACCATTGGATAGATAGTAGAGTTTATTAAATATTAAGACTCACTATTATACTTAATATCTCAATTTATTAGGTCCTTAAATTAGATTTCAATAATATTGTTTAAAAAATTAACAATCATTTATGCAGTGGTATATTCAAATCAATATCACTAGCATACAATATTAAGGTGGGTACATTTAAATATGTCGAAATTTTATTTCAAAAAACACATGCTTAATATGAAGCAAAAAAACAAAATTAAGGGGGGCCAAAAGTTTTGTTTTTAATGTTGGGCCAAAATTTTTTATTTTTTTTAATAGGTTTGGGTGAATTGTAATAGGTCAAATATTTAATTTTTTAATAAATTTGGGTAGATAGTGTTGAGCTCAAATTTTTTTTGTTTTAAATAGACTTAATTTTTTAATTCTTTTGGATAAATAATGTGGGTCTAATATTTTTATCTTGAATTTTGGGTGGACATAAATAATATATTATACAAATATATAATATATATACCTGACTAATAAAAAAACAAATATGGGAAAACATTTGCCCACCCTGACCCTTGTCTCCCTCCACCCCTGCACATGATTGATCCCAAATGACCGATTGACGATTAGAATGGTCAACCAATCAGTCCTCACCGATGATTAAGCGAATTTGTTGATAAGTAAATGATTTTACTAAGTTTATTTACTTGTTATCTTTTTATTTCGTATCCCATTTAACTTTATTTACTTGTTATTTTTTTTATTTCATATCCCATTTAATACAATTTAAATTGGGTCACATTAGTCCCAGTTTTTCTCATTTCCTTCACTCAAGTATTTTCTCAAACACGTAAGATGCGTTTAAGTAACTAGTGAATTTATCAAACGGCTTTACCATAAATAAGTCTCTATCTTTACCAAATTGACACAAAATCAAATTAATTACGCATAGACTTGTTAAGCTTCCTAATCATAGGTTATGGGTTAAAATCGGAGTTATATGTGAAGGGTTACATTCATTTGTTTGTAAAGGTACTAAGCTGATTTTTTTTTCCTAAGTCACAAATTTTTAGTCAACTTCAAACAGATGTTAGTTTTCATACAAATACAATTAGGTTCTGTACCATATATAGTTAGAAAGATCTATAAGTTTGTGTTATAACAAAGAAAACAATACACAAATTTGAATTTTATAGAGAAAGCTATCACTGTTTTTCCATCGACTATCCAAACTGTTTGTGAAAACCGGAATTACTACCAACCTTCAACACAAATTTCAGAACATAATTCTAATTTTCTGTAAGAAACTCCCCTTATAATCCAATGGTATCATCCTTAAGTATACCCACTTTAACATTGAAAGTACCCATAGGTTCTATATATCTATTTCGTACTCTTACTGTTTGAAGAATCTAGAAGTATATGGTGAAAATCCACAACTAGGAATTTCATGAACAATTTTTCCTTTTAATTCCAATAGTAAGAAAACTGTAAGAAGGATCCCGATCACTTTGATGTAGATAATTAACTCTAACAATCCAACTTCAACTCATGGATTTTTTTTATACAAAATGTCAACTACTAATCTCTTTACTTACCTCTCAAGAGATAGGAGATAACCCAACAAAATTCCTCCGTAATTCTCCTTTAATCTCCCTATTCAACCCAAGAGGAAACAAAGAAGCAAACAAAAGGAACAGAAAGATAAAAGTGTTCCAAGTGCTAGAACGTTTAAGAACCTACAAGAGGTTTCCAAGTCTTTAGAGCATATCAAGTTAACTATTTACTTATATATCCTTGTCTTTTTTTTATCCTATTCTTTTTAACCCCATAAAAGTTTAATTTAAAATTATATTTTTACACCTCCACAAGTATCTATTTTTTTCTTTTACCCATGAAAATTATATTTCCACCCTTACTATTAATTAAATGCAATGCAATGCATTATCGGGTCTCACACATATACATCATAAATATTCCTTTACCACTCTTACTAACATTCGAAATGTGCTTGCTTTTGTCAACCCGAATCAACTGTTTTGTCCACTACCAACATAACTTGATATCACAATTACCTTTGCTAGCTTCTTATTGATGCAAATATAGTAGTAATTAGTCTTCATATTGTTGTGATCCATAAGTAATAGATAGAGTGATGTAAAGGCTGATGATGATACCTCGGTACATGAACCATGTATATTGATGTTAATCCACCATCATATATAGAAAAATTAGGAATAATCCGTGTCTAAAGTCATAATACAATGTAAGGACTGATGGATCTGGGAAAAATTCAATGTAAATATTTTTAAGAGAGATATTGGTGGTCATTAAATAAGCCTATTTGAGACCGTTCGATAAGTTTGCTGAAATCTGTCCTGTTCAATATTATAAATTTACAACTATAACAAAAACACTATGAAATGGAAAGAAAAAAGCAGCAAACCAAACAAAATATCGAGATGAGAAAGAACAAACCAATGAATGGAAGAAGAATGAGTTTGAATGAATCTCATTCCTTGCTCAAGGATGTAAAAAATGATCGCAATAATTAGAGTTGCACGATGAATATGCCAAATTAATCATTTTTATCTGACAATGAATATTCATTTTGGTTGCCAATGAGTTGGGAAAAATGGAAGATCCAAAATTTAACTCTTTTGCTACAATAGTTGTAGGGTTTGAAAATTAAATGAAATGAATAATTATTAAATAAAATAATTGTTGTATTGAATTAGGCCTTTATTAGGTCTCCAAATTAAATTTATATAGCATAGATAATCAAGCTGAATTCACCATTTAGAGAGAACTTAATAGACACTCAAATGGAGAGAATTTGAGACTTGAGAGGGATTCCAAGCGTATCAGGTACATGGACTCAAAATCTATTAAGCCAATATGTTTATATATAAACTTAAATCAGTTATGAGAAGTTATTAAATATGAATAGAATTGCTTTTTGTGGGGATGCATTAAAAGTATTCTGTTTTCATATTTTGCATAGTCTAAGGATGCAATTGACTTTGAAGGATAAGTAAGGGTTAAAATAGAGAAATATTTTTTCTCTTAAGGGACTGTTATAAATAATATAAATATATATATATATATATATATATTGCGAATTGGAGTTTTGAAGTCTATTTGATACATTGAATGCAAATGGAATCCGAAAGGCCTAATACTTAAAATCTATGAGTAACGTTTAGAAACATCAGTGTCAGAATTTGTAGGGTCTAAAAACATTAAAAACTTGCAATATAAAACTGGAAAAAAAAAAATCAGGATTAAAATTATATATATATATATATATATAGATGTTAGTAGAAATCACATTTTTGTATCTTAAAAGATTTTAAATTTTTTTTTTGCATCCTGAAAAATTAAATTTTTTATCTTGCACATTTAATGTATTAAAAATATTATTATATGATTATTCTGTTAATTTTCGTTAGTTTTTGTTGCTCATTTTGTAAAAATTATCTCATTAACATTGATGGAACAGATAACAAAAATTAATAAAAGGATTACACTATAATATTTTTAATATATTCGGGACGCAATATACAAAATTTAATATTAAAAAATAAAGAGTAAAAATTCTTAAATTTTACAAAGTGTAATTCTTCCTAAATCATAACTCGTTTTTGCTCTTTCAAAAAAGTATCCGTTAACTTTGAACTACAAAAAATGAAAGTGACAGCCATGACCTTCAACATATGAGATAGACAAATAACAGCTGAGAAATTAATTTGTTACTTAAAATATTGAATATGTTTTTATATGATCCTTCAAGCAGATAACGTTCAGATTGTTAATAATTTTTTATTATAAACTTGTCATGTAATATCTAAATATAGACAAAAAATAATTTTAATAACTCTTAAACAAAATTTGGGTAGCTCTTGATAAAAAATGTGTAATATGGATAACTTTTGACAAAAATTAAAATAGTTCATAATAAAAATTGAACAATTTATGTAGATATTTAACCAAAATTTTGATAGAAATTTTTTCAAAAGTTATTTAAATTATTTTTTTTATCCATATTTACGTATCACGTGACAAGTTTATGATAAAAAATCGTTAACAATTTAGATGCTGTCTATTTGAGGAACCAAATAAAAATAAATTAAATATTTTATAAATTAAAATAATATAATTAAAATATTAATGACTAAAATAAGACAAATTCCATACTTGAGTAATCTCTCCTACAATTAACCCTAGATCCGAAACAAACTCAACTCTGGTTTGTGTGATGTGCTTCTTCAATTGGTCCAACCAACTGAGCATGTGACAACCAGCCAAAATAATGCGAAGCACCTTAAAGCCCCGTCGAAGGGTTTAGCAATCACCATTGAAAAAGAACAATGGGAAGGCTCAAAGCAAAGAGGGATTACGAAGACCTCAGGAAGACTCGCATTTTGGAAAACCAGGTCCTCTCTCTCTCTCTCTACCTCTGTCCCCGTGTCTGTGTCTGTGTTAGGTCATATATCTACATATTCTTGATATGATAATGGAGTGAGTAATAGGCTAGATTCGCTTCTTTGGGACTGCACAAAACCATCTCAGATCTTCGGTCCCTCACTTCTTCGGCTAAATCAGAGAAGACCCATGTGAGGAAATACTGCAAAGTTGATTATTCTTGCTCGATATTGCGCCGGTCCAATCGACTGAAGCGCATTAGTGCTGATTGCTCAACATCTGAACCCATTTCACTGCGTCGATCCAATCGGTTGAAAAGAAATTATGGCAGTTCAACTCCCTCACCAAAAGGTCTTTCCTTTAATTTCTTTTGTCATTATGCGCACGCACACACACGCACACACATACACACACAGAGTTTGTGGCATAAAGGGCATGATATGATGTCCTTCGTTCCTGTTGTTGGACAAGGGAAAAAGGGTATCTTCAGAATTCGCATAAGGATGAATTGCGCACTGCGTAGTATCACACACATACCCATTTACAGGGTTCTTCCTCTGATTTATTGTTTTATTTAGTTGTCTTTATTGCTTTTCAGCAAAAGTGGGTCCTTTTGGAGATGAAGGGGAACAGAAGAGGCCAACAAATGCAGCTTTGGTGAGGATAAAGGATTGGAGTTCATGGCTTTCGCCAGAGGTTTTATCCAGGCGTTGCAGAAGCAAGAGCAGGGGAAGTGTTCATGATCCTGTGTTCGGAATTTGTTGCCATTTCTGCAGGTTCTCTACCTTGAAAACTTTGGTCCAACAAAATCTTGTGGACAATAAAAAATTTTCAGATGATTAAAATACACAATAGGACGCCTATGTCATGCTATATTAGTTTTTGTTTGTTTGGTAATGTGGTTTACAATTATTTAGGCAATCCTTTTCCCCGAGTAGCTTTTGATGGGTTAAGCCCAAATAGTCCAATTTATGTGTTAAAGTCCAACTCCAGTTGAGGAGCCCAACCTCATTTTGAATCTACCAAGCCCAAGACAGTCCAAGACCGGTTAGACTTTTTGCTTAGCACGTCATCAAGAAGAGAGCATGAGAAGCTTATCTGCACCACCGAAGGAAACGGTCCAAGCTTTGACCACGTTTCATGAAGAGCTCCCCAACCTCCTCCTTCCGTTGAGAATAAGTCATGATCTCCACCAGAATGATCTCTTAGCTGCGATAAAGTAGCCTTGAGGATAAGTCATGATCTCTTAGCTGCTATAAAGTAGCCCCAATCTGTGAGGAGACGAGAGAGAAAAAATGGCACGCCCCACCAACACTTACAGAGGACAGACCGACGACCGGATACCACTCCTTCTTTGATTCTCCATTCTCTCAAAGCTTGTATCTCTATTCTCCATACCGCTGAATTAATAAAATACCCGACAACTGAAGCCATTGAAGAATGGACGTAGGTCGAATTGACCGAACCACTATAAATCGTGTCTTCTTTAATTTTCTCATTGATTTCACTGCATTTATTACCTACACTTGACAGATGGTGTGCAAAATCATTTTTGTGTATCATCAGTTTGGCGCTGTCTGTGAAAATCGACAAAATTCTCACTTCTGAACATTACATCCATTAACTAATGCGATTACTACTCGATCCATGAACCAACATGAAGAAAATCCTCCACGAGAGGAGGAGGTTGCTCCCCCACCTATCAACCCTGTTCCGGATACTCTAGCCCCGAATCCCCAGCAAATATTGGAGACCATGCAGCAACTGGTTGTTCAAAACCAACAGTTACTGCAACTCATACTTGCTGGAGAAGGAGGAGCACCACACGGAGGTGCACAGCATGGAGGACACCAAGGTGGAGCACCACACGGAGGTGCACAACGTGGAGGGCCCCACGGAGGTGCACAACATAGAGCACCCCAGGGAGCTCCACGTCCTGGACATCAAGGAGCACCACGCCCTGTTGCTCCACGCCCGGGCGCCCCATTGGGCACCCCACTTCGGGAAGCCCAACATGAGGGAGCTTCCCCTCCCCCTCCCCTTGCTTCCCAGGGAGAGGACCCTTATCTCCAGGAGGATGAGGGTGAAAACCAAAGCATGGAGCATGGAAGCCACTTCCATGATCATTCCAGAGGAGCCCCCAATCATTGGGACGAAAAGATAAAGGAGGTACAGAATCAACTCGGTGATGTCTTCAATGCCATGAAGGCACAGGGACCCGAGACTGTTGACCACCTAGTAAGGCGTACTAATACGCCTTTCAAACCTGATGTAGCAAACTACCCCCTCCCTCAGAAGTTCAAAATGCCATCTGTGGAGACCTTTGATGAAACAAATGATCCACTGGACCACCTCGACACTTACAAGACCTTGATGCAATTGCACAACGTACCAGACGAAATCATGTGCAGGGCATTCCCAACCACGTTAAAGGGGTCTGCCCGACAGTGGTTTGCTAAGCTCTCCCCCGCCTCTATTGCCTCTTTCGCCGAACTTAGCAAATCATTCGTCTCACATTTCATTGGAGGGCGTCGCCACCAGAAGCCAGTTACGCACCTGCTTAGTATAAAGCAGGACCGCGAGGAGAGCCTGAGGAGTTACCCCACTCGTTTTAACGAGGAGGTACTCCAAGTTGATGAACCCGACGACAAGGTGACGATGACCGCCTTCTTGGGTGGCCTCCGTTCATCAAGCTTCCTTTTCTCAGTTCTGAAGCGTCCATCGAAGAGCATGCCAGAGCTGTTAGCCAAGGCCCAAAAGTACATAAACGCAGAAGACATCACAAGGGCCAGGCGGGGTGAGTCTTCCAGAGCAGGGGATAAAAGGAAGGAAAGGGAGAGGGACGATAAGAAGGGGACCAGCAACAAACATGGCAGGACAGAGAAAGTCCCTGTCAAGGACCGGCTAGGTCCTGCTCCTCAGAGGAACCGTCAACCCTTCACTCCCCTCAATGCTTCCGTGGAACACATCCTATTCCAGATCCAGGATGACCCCGCGATAAAGTGGCCTAGAAAAATGAAGTCTCCTCCAAATCGCAGAAATCCTAACAAGTATTGCCGCTTCCATCGTGACCACGGGCATGACACCGACGATTGCTACGACCTCAAGAGGCAAATTGAGGGGCTCATCCAGCGTGGTCACTTACGCCAGTACGTTGCTGGAAGGGAACGAGCACCACAACCTCACAACCAGGAAGATCAGCAGCCAGTGGGGGAAATCCACACCATCTCAGGGGGACTAGCAGGTGGAGGAGAATCACTTTCCGCGATGAAGGCCCATGCCAGGAAGGCAAGACATGTTTGCGAGATGCGCCCATCTAAGGTGCCGAAGCAGGAAGGCGACATGGTCATATCTTTTTCAGACAAGGACCTAGAGGAAATCCAACACCCCCATGACGACCCCTTGGTGCTCACCATGACGGTGGTCAATTTTCATGTGCACAGGATCCTGGTGGATAGTGGCAGCTCTGCGGATATCCTGTTTGCAGAGGCCTATGACAAGCTCAACCTGAGCAGGGAGAGGCTACAGCTAATCAGGTCACCCCTCATTGGATTCTCAGGGGAAAAAGTGTATCCCCTTGGATCCATCACACTTCCCGTCACCGCCGGAGTAACACCCTAAAGCTCCACAGTCATGGTCAACTTCCTGGTAATAGAGTGCCCGTCAGCCTACTACATCATATTAGGGCGGCCAGCTCTTAACACATTAAGAGCTGTGCCCTTTACCTACCATTTCGTTCTCCGCTTTCCAACCTCAAATGGTGTCGGAGAGGTCAAAGGGGACCAAATAACAGCCAGAGAGTGCTATGTATCCTCTATGAAGGCTAGGAAGCCCCAAGAAGCATTGCAGGTTTGAGGTCCTTGACCCAAGGGATGACTACGCAACAGAAAGAGGAGAACCAGTCGAGGAACTCATCCCTGTGGTTTTGGAAAAGGAGCACCCAGACAGAAGAATTTACATTGGCTCTTCCCTTTCTGAAGAGCTGGCTCCCCTGTTGATTGATTTTTTGAAGCGTAATATGGACATCTTCGCTTGGTCGCATGAGGACCTTGAGGGCATCGACCCGGAAGTAGCTACCCACCGCCTCAATGTCGATCCACTGTACAAGCCTGTTCGCCAAAAGTTAAGGGGAACCTCCACTGAAAGGGCCCAAGCCATGGACAAGGAGGTTAGAAAGCTGATTGATAACGGGGCAGTCAGGGAAGTGGCGTATCCGGAGTGGCTCTCCAACGTAGTAATGGTTACTAAGGCTAATGGGAAGTGGCGCCTCTGTGTCGACTTCACAGAACTAAACAAGGCATGCCCAAAAGATAGTTATCCACTGCCGCGGATTGACCTCCTCATCGACGCCACCTGGACATGAGTTGCTCACTTTCCTGGATGCATACTCGGGGTACAACCAGATTAGCATGCATCCCCCAGACCAAGAGAAGACATCATTCATCACGCCAAAGGGGACATACTGCTACAGGGTCATGCCCTTTGGGCTAAAGAACGCTGGGGCAACCTACCAACGGCTGGTGAACAAGATGTTCCAGTCTCAGATCGGGCAAACAATGGAGGTGTACGTGGATGACATGCTGGTAAAGAGCCTTGCAGCAGTAGACCACATCGATCACCTCCAAAAAACTTTCAACGTCCTGAGGTCCTATCACATGAAGCTCAACCCTGAGAAGTGCGCCTTTGGTGTGGGGTCTGGTAAATTCCTGGGCTTTATGGTCAATCAGAGGGGAATTGAGGCGAACCCTGACAAGATCAAGGCCATTCTTGACATGAAGTCACCCTCCTCAACCAAGGAGCTCCAGCGCCTCAATGGAAGAATCGCAGCATTAAATAGGTTTGTCTCCAAATCTGCAGACAAATGTCTCCCTTTTTTCAAAACTCTCCGAAAAGCCTTTGAGTGGAAACCTGAGGCAGAGGAGGCTTTTCAAAGGCTCAAAGCCTACCTAGCAGCACCTCCCCTCCTGTCACATGCTACCCCTGGAGAAACTCTCCATCTATACCTTTCTGCTTCCCCATCAGCGGTAAGCTCAGTGCTCGTTAGAAACAACAATGGAGTGCAGAAACCAGTTTATTACGTGAGCAGGGCATACCGGGGGGCAGAGGTCAGATATTCAGCACTAGAAAAACTGGCACTCGCTCTGGTCACGACAGCGAGACGGCTGCGACACTACTTCCAGGGCCATCGTATGGTGGTCATCACCGACCAACCTCTTAAAAGAATCTTGGGAAAGCCGGACGTATCTGGCAGACTTCTTAAATGGGCAGTAGAACTCGGGGAATTCGACATTCAGTACCAACCTAGGACGGCCATCAAAGCACAAGCCCTAGCAGATTTCGTAGCTGAACTCACACCAACAGAAGATGGGAACGATGAGGATCCCCAAATGCCCAACGGAGACATCAAGAAGCCTAACAAAGACCCTCAAGCAGGCGCCCAAGTCTCCTCCCCAGGAGCCCAAACAACTTTTTCTGATGACCAGGCATCCCGGGCTGCACCTGGATGCCCAGGCACCACAGGCTGCACCTCTAGCTCCTGCACCACAGGCTGCACCTCTGGATGCCCAGGCACCACAGGCTGCACCTCTGGATGCCCAGGCATCACAGGCTGCACCTCCCCGGTCTTCCACTTCAAATTTCAAATTCTCCACTCATCTGCTTTGGAAACTCTACGTAGATGGCTCCTCGACTAGTGAAGGAGGAGGAGCGGGCTTAATCTTGATCAGCCCAGATGGCACCACTCTCAGATATGCGATGAAGCTCCACTTTTATGCTTCCAATAATGAGGCGGAATACGAAGCCCTCCTTTCTGGATTAAGATTAGCGATGGAAATGGAGGTTCA